GGGGGGGGGGGGGGAGGAAGAGAGAAAAGAGCAAACCTGAAGAAAATTGAGAATAAAGCTTGCGATATCCGCCGTGTGAGTAGAAGAGTGGCTAAGAAACAACGAATTTGGCAAAGAAAGAGCCTGAAAAAAGAAACTCTAAGTTGCAATTTAATGCTAATAGTTTAAGGTTAAGAATAAGAAGAAAGATATTCTGTGAAGTGGGAATAAGATAAGTTGACTCAACTATGTTACCTTTGGAAAGGTCTTCTGTCTTTCTCTGAGTTAGCCTTGGCTTCAAAGAGTTGCTTGCAAGTTGCAAGTACAAACACTTCCCTTTTTGCTTATCGGGCAAAGGGCAACGTTGCGATTTCCATATTTACGTTTCTTTCTCTTTCTTTTTTTCTTTTGAGTGTACAGGTTAAAACCTCTTAAATTATTACCTTTTTGTGAGGCTTGTATTTAAACTATTAAGTAATCTATTTCCTTTATCCTAGATTATAATTTCCTTTAGATTTAAGAATTTTCCGATTAAAATTGTGACAAAATATTTAAGATAACTTGGTGAAAGAGGCGTGAGTAACGAAAAAAATCTTAAAAATAAGTACACATGATTGTATGCACTCGACATCTTATGGGCTTCCGTCCTACTAAGCAATTGCTGAATTTTATGACACCTTCGACGAGTTCTCTCCAAGTTGTCTGCAAGCATCGCATTTAGTTGTGATTGCCGAGCTTCAAACCTTTGATGTTCATCTTCACTATCCTCACGGATTGACTCATCAGACTTTTCAACAAAAGAGAGGTTTGGGAACTTTGGTTCTGGTACCAATTGTTGCGAATCTCAATATGAAATCTCCATTGAGACTCGAAAAAGAATTTAAGAAAAAAAATAAAAGGATAAAACTTCATATTTTTATTCAGCTTAACATGGCAAAATACGGATACATAGTATTTAACAAAACCCAAAATAATCTAACAAACCCTACGTGGCAACTTAAGTTGTGACCGGCGGTTAGGGACTAAAAAGTAAATAAAAGGACCCAAATGACATTGTACAAACTTAGGACACTACATAAAGTATAAATAAATTAAGAATATCTAATTAAGTTGTTATGACTCTCCAATCGCTACATCCGATAGAGAATACCTCAAGAGCAATAACTGTATGCATCAGTCCGGAGCCTTTTTTAAATACCGCTAATTACAGAGACATTTGGCTAAGATCAGCCTTTTACGGGGCCATTCCTGTCAATCACCCTTTTTTTATCATAAAAGAAAAGGAATTAGGCATGTACCTTTGATTGGCCTTCTTTTTTTATTATTCTCTATATGTTAGAGGAACATGAGATTTTATTATTTTCTAATTCAATTCAAAAGATTAGCTCATGAATTATAATTTAGATTAGCTCATGAATTAGAATTTAGATTATCTAATAACATATAAAGAGACATCATCTTATTTCTTTTATAATATAGTACATCTAGCAAATTAAGAGATTTACCTTTTGTTATCTATAATATCATTAGTCTCTGGGCATATGCATTAGGCGTGTATCCTATATAAATGATATATGATAACTATAAACGGTAGTTCTAAAAGATTTTAGATTATTATATGTATGAGAAGTTAATGAACTTAACTTGTAAACTGAAGAATTTAGATATATGTTTTTTAATAAATTCTTTGATAATCCCAGGGAAAATTTGATGTTACACAACTAATTTTTGTATTCATTTATTAATATTGAAGATATTATTAATTTAAGGGCATAAAAGTTCAAAAATATAGGGTCATCTTGGTCTTTCATATTTAACTATTGATCTTCAGGCTTATAATATAGTATAATATATAATATAATTATTGTTAATATTGTCATTTTTGTCTTCGTGTTACTACTCATATATATTACAATAATATATTATTTACAATAAAATAAATTCAGACATTGTGCTGATAGCTAGATTAGGGACAAATAAACATTCTTCTTCTATTCAAATAGGTTAGCCAAAGTTCAAATTGGGCCTTCTAATTGGGCTTAGAGTGCTTAGTAAAGTTCAACTAGAGGTATATCCGACGGCCCGCCATTGAGTTATAATAGAAAATTCGACACTACATGGCATACCTAATACGGAAATTTTTATAATAAGTCCAAACTTACCAACCTCTAGCCATTAATCACATACTTACAAAAGTAGCCAAGTGCATACAAAAATTAAAAATCTAGATAAATAAGGATTTTTTGTCTCCAAGAATCACATGCAAAAATCTCCTTCTATATTTGTAGGTGTGACCAGCAACATTAGATGCAAGATGGAAATAAAATTTCATGGATGAGGTAGCAAAGATGAAACACAAAGAAAAGAAAAATATAAAAGGTTCCAAAAGCCTAAGCAAAAAGGTACCTATTTCAATGGGTATGGTTGAAATTCATTGAAAATATATAGATGAGTCAATATACAAAATTTGAGAAAGACTGGAGGTGATTTGGACTAGTTTTAAGTCAAAATTCGTAGTTGAAATCAAGTTTAGTAAATTTCTTTACGACATATGAATCTCACATACGGGTATATATGGATATACATGATATACATAAGAGATACATATTTGATACATAAAAGATACATGGAGATATATAGTGAGATACACATATCATCTTCTTCCATGTCCATCTTGTGTACTTCGAATTTCGCTCATGTTTCACTTCAAACTACCTAAAATCTCCACCAAATTATCCAAAAATTGAGATTCACACTCCTTAAGATGCACCCAATCTATTTCAACCACACCCACTCGAAATAAATTCCAATTTCAAAAATCCAAAAATTTGAATTCAAGCTTAAACAATCTTCAATGGTTGTCCATGGGGTTTTCAGTTTAATCTTTTGCCCCAATCCAACAAATTAATGTTTAATAATAATTTCTTAATCGAATTAAAGTGCATGATTCTCTAAAAATCACTTTAGCTCACTGTATGCTCTAAAAACTGACATTAATTGAAATTGTACGGATTAAAATGATATTTGGGCCTTTTCTGGTAAATATTTTATTTTTGGGCTAGTTTTGGTTGAAATTGTTTATAAGTGACAATTTGAATAGTTTTTCACCTAATAAATGGCATTAACCAACTTAGGTTATTGGCACCTTGTAGCCCATATTTATATTTTAATGTAATAAATTAATAGTTTATAGCCAAACTAGGTTAAGACAACTCTCTCTCTCTCTCTCTCTCTCTCTCTCTCTCTCTCTCTCTCTCTCTCTCTCTCTCTGTAACGACCCGTCGGTCGTTTTGTGTATTGTAGCCTTATTTCCATATTCATTACTTCTTCTGTGTTCATTTGTGGTACGTGACTTGCCAGGGTGGTTGGATTGATTTCGGGAAAGTTTCGGAGTGAATTGGGACACTTAGTCCCGAGGTTGAAGGCTTACGTTAAAAGAATTTATCAGAGTTTTTTTTTTTGTGTAAACGACTCTGGAATGGAGTTTTGATGGTTCCAATAGCTTTGTATGGTGATTTTAGACTTAGGCGTACGTCCAGATATTGATTTAGAGATCCGTAGGTCATTTTGTCTTGAATCGGTGAAAGTTGGAAAGTTGAAGGTTTGGAAGGTTAAGAGGTTTGGCCGAGAGTTGGCTTTGTTGATACCAGGTTTGGATTTTGGTTTTGGGAGTTAGGATAGGTCCGTTGTATCATTTTTAGACTTGCTTGCAAAATTTGAGGTCATTCGAAGTTGAATTGATATGGTTCGACATTAGTTTTAGAAGTTGGAAGTTCATTAGTTCATTAGGCTTGAATTGGAGTGCTATTCGTGATTTTGATATTGTTTTGTGTGATTCGAGTCCTCGAGTAGGTTCGTCTTGTATTTTAGGATTGGTTGGTATGATTGGACGGGGTCCCGGGGGTCTTAGGTATATTTCGGATGGGTTTCAGACCATTTCCCTCATATTTGGACTGCTAATCTGATATCTGGTGTGGGCTTCTTCGCGTTCGCGACACAGGCGTCACGTTCGCTTAGTGTTAATGGTGGCAGGTGGTTTTTCTCTTTGCGTTCGCAACACAAGGGTCGCGTTCGCGAGTGTTGACTACCAATTTTGACCCTCCCTTTTAAAATTAAATTATTTATACTTAATAATTTACAATAAATGTGTTGAAAATATTTTCTAATCAATAATACATATTGTTAGGTAAATATAATATAAATTAGTAATTAATGGTGTTAAATTAATAATTTGGTAATAGATAATTTTAAAATATATTACCCTTACTATTTTGAAATTATTAAATTAACTTCTATATTTTGATACATAAGTTTTATAATTAATTCATCAAATTAATATTTGATTTTTAATTAATTCGCTTATTATTTAAATAATCCAAAATTAACTTCATAATTTGAGTAAATAAAGTATTTTAATAAATAATTAATTAAATACAATAATTTACAGAGTATTTGATGATTGTACTTTTACCACATTTAATTAAATTAATTAAAAGGGGTTAAAGACTAAAGGGGTGCAATTGCAAAGACTCAATTAAATTCAATGTGGCTAATTATTAAATCAAAACTAGCCCAAACACTAGCCCAATCCCCATTTGACCCGGTCCAGGATAACCCCCCATTCCATGTTGGCAATCCACCCAAACCCCTGAGAACCAATGAGATTGCACCACGTCACCTCTCAATCCCACTCACAAAACAAACACATTCAATCTGAGTCGTTGATCCATACCATCGACGGACCATGTTTATTATCGCCTTTCCCATTATTTTTAAACCCCATGCGAGATTATATCCTCACCGTTGGATCACACAGATCCAACGGTCCCCGTTTTTCCCAATAATATATTTTTAAAATCCATACAACCTAAATTATCAGGGCAGTTGATCAAACGATCCAACGATCCAGATCTTGTCTCTCGCCTTAAACCTGAGAGACCAACTACAGGGTCTCAAACCCTAATCATTTCTCCCTTGAACAGCCTCCCCATTTCCCTTTTCACTATTCTTTCTCTCATCTGCTTAATCTCCATCAGTCATGAGACCTTGCACAAATTCGTGCATGGTCAACAAAATATACCTCGAATCATCCATCTTGTCCCTGTTAGCCGTAATTCACACCGATTTCTTTCCATTTCCACCGATAAAATTCAAATGCCCAAATCTGAAACCCTAAGCTCAAAGAGGAAAACCTCAAATCGTCTGAATCTCTCTTATGTTCTTTCAAATCAGAAGCATGCATGAAGGATTCTCAGGCTTCATAATGATTATTCGATGTCGAGAGGTCAAACGCAGTGACCTCTGGACATTGAAGCTTTGTTTGATGGGTCTTCA